TGTGGTTTATGTATACAATGGAATATTCCTCAGCCATTAGAAATGACAAATACCCACCATTTGCTTCGACGTGGATGGACCTGGAGGGTATTATGCTGAGTGAAGTAAGTCAATCGGAGAAGGACAAACATTATATGGTCTCATTCATTTGGGGAATATAAATAATAGTGAAAGGGAATAGAAGGGAAGGGAGAAGAAATGGGTAGGAAATATCAGAAAGGGAGACAGAACATGGAAGACTCCTAACTCTGGGAAACGAACTAGGGGTGGTGGAAGGGGAGGAGAGTGGGGGGTGGGGGTGACTGGGTGGCGGGCACTGAGGGGGGCACTTGACGGGATGAGCACTGGGTGTTATTCTGTATGTTGGCAAATTGAACATCAATAAAAAATAAATTTATTATTAAACAAAAAGAGAGAATACAATTCATTTTGGTTATTTATTCTGCCTAATGGACCACTGCAAAATACTAGGATACTGTAGAACAACCACATTTGTATGGTGTAAGAAACTCCAGGTGAGATATTTGGTTAAGGCACCCGAGGAATGTGTTGCTCCTTCTTGGGTCTGTCTGGGGCCACCCTTGGGACTACGTGCGTGCTGGACTGAAGTCATTTGGAGGTTCTTTGATGCATGTTTTTGTGCTCAGTAGGGATGCTGTTAAGGTGGGATTTAGCTGGGTCTGTGGGCCAGAATGCCTAGGAGTGTTGTCAGATGTCCAGGAGGGTAATGAGATGATCAACGATTGATAGAATAAGTGTGAGGGTTGAGGGAGGTGAAGAGGCAGAAAAGGAGGCTCCTGTAAGTGTTCCAGGTGCCCCCGACACTGGACATCCTCCCTCGGATGTCCGGGAGGACACTCTCAAAATGTTATTGTTTTCAGATTTCCAGGAAGGGCATTTTGGATGCCTGAGAATGTACAGCGTGAAAGATTTAAATAAAATAAAGGCAATTATTTAGCAGAGATTGGATATGGTCAAAGGATGATGGGAGCTGTAGGTTAATGAAGCAGGATTAAGACGTTTGGACAAGAGAGAAGTGTAGAGAGAAACAGGAAGAGCTTGAGAAAATGAAAAGAAGCAAAACACATTAAGTAACGATGAGGAAGATGTAATAATGAGGTATTCCAAGAAAGAGATAAAAATAAAGTGATGAATTTGGGAACCATCACTCTTATGAATGTTCAGTTTTACGGAAGAGCATTTTGTCACTTATGTGAGTTTTCCAGCAGGAAGCAGCGATTCACACTTAGAGGGAAGACGATGGGTAGTGATGGGCAATGGAGCGGTGAGTAGGATGAGTTCTTTTTGGGAAATGAAGAATTAGGGGAAGATTTGATTGTTGCTTTTGTTGATTACGAAAAGCCAATTTTGGGGGGGAACTTGGGGAGATCTCTCTTAGGAGAGATCTTTCCTGACGGTAGAATAATGAATGAGGATACACGGAAGGTCTGGGAAGAACTTCCCTGGATTTTCAACAGGAAGAACTTGTGAGGTTTTGATGGTTGTGCTTCGTTTGTGCATGTGGAGCCTTATCTTCCCCTCACATGCTTGCTGCTTTTTATGTAACTCTCCGTGTATTCAGATTTCTTTACGTACAGAGATTTGAGATTGCAAACTTCTTTTGTAGCTACACACCGTTGGGAGTCACTCGCTCCTCGTTAATTTTGTTTATGGGCTTCCTGCCTGCCTGAGGCTCCTTCGTCTGTTATATCTCATAACTCACAGGCATGGATCACTTCTGCTTTCCGAAATGTCGTCCACGTCCACCTGTCCTTTCTTTTCATAGTCCACTCCCTCCCTGGTCCTTTAAGGAAAGTCCTCTCTTTTTGCTTGGCACACACCGTACGGATTTCTCCTGCATTCACTTATGCGTCCGTGGCTGACATTTCTCAGGAACTTTCTAAGCACTTGGCTCCCTCCTAAGTCCTATGAGTAGGGGTTGAACACAGTAACCTTTTGTTCCCTTTGATTTTATTTATTGAGAGAGAGGTGACAACCAGACAAACCAAGAGCGAAGAAACAAAGAGCCAAGAAAACATCAGGTAGTGATAAATAACAGGATGGGAATATAATAAACACAAGTCACCATCGCTGAAGGGTATTTCAGCTGGAAAGGCATCGGATACTGCCTGGAAGGGGCGATGTTGAGGTTGAGATCGCATGGCTATAGTGTATGGCAGCAGTCACGTATAGTGAACAGAGTAGAAACACCCTGGGTGTGTATCTGGTGTGTGGTGCACATTCAGATTTCTACCACCTGAGCGTCACTGTGTGCGGAGTGCCTCAACTCCTTGGAGGCAGAACAGGACAAAACGTACTTCCGGGGTAACTTCCAATCCTACCGGGCCTCCCGTTGCCCTAGGACTTCTCAGCCCTCATCAGCCTGTGCCTTGTGGGCTCTCGTTTTATTGAGGCTCAGTGGTGTGTCCCTGCCCACGGCTGCCCAGGGCGGCTGCTGAGGCCTCCAGCTTCTGAATCGGGTATGGGGGGGAGCGGGGCCTGGGTTTGGACGGAGCCCTTGATGCTTCTCTGTGGGGGCAGTTATCTCATTGTGCTGGAAGGCCTGGTGACTTTTAATTTTACTTCTTACATATGTTTCAATTTTAATTCTTATAATGATAATTACGAAAACATAATGTTTTGGGGATGCATTATGGATTTGACTTTCTTAGGATACATATATATTTTCATATTTTCTTAGTATAGTAAGGGTAAATGTCCCAAGGCACAGCTACACTGGCTACATTGCCTGATATACACACGTATATACACATACACCTCTGAGTCTGGTTTTATAGATTTTATGTATTTGTCGATTCCTTTACAGCGAGAGTGGCAAGGGAGGGGGAGTGAAAGACTCTCAAGCAGACTCCCTGCCGAGAATGGAGCAGGAAGCAGGGCTCCAATACAGGACCCCGGGATTTCCACTCAGGTGGAAATCAAGTGTCAGATGCCTAACGGAGGGAGCCACCAAAGTGCCCATAACTGTGATTTTGCATAAAGTATATTTAAATAAAAATAGCAGATGCCACATAACTGTATGAAATTAAATTGTGTAATAATGATCTCAGTCTAATTTTGATATAGCATGTCCAATATATATCTGTATATATGATGCCATTCATTTTTTTTTAAAGGGACATTTAGAACCTAGGGCTTTCCCATAGTTTCGGCGTTTTCCAGGACTTGTTTAGTACCTTTCGTTGGAGACTTGGGTGGGTCCCACTCGTGGTTGTGATGTGAACCTGGAACTTTGGCTTCATTGTTGCATTTACTTAGCTGAGGTGTGTGCAATGAAGGGCGGGTAGTGTTGGTCCCTGCTCAGCACCTGCAGACACACCTGAAGGAATAGGGACTTGCACCCACTCCTTCCTGTCCTTGGAACACAGGTTCCCAAAATGTAACAGGATTGAGTCCTCAGCACCTTCAGGGCTTTGTTCTCGTCTCACTTTTACTGTAATGCCTTTTTGGCTGCCTTAGCTAAGATTATAACCTCACTTCGTGTCTCCATGATACTCCGCTTTCTTCTTTTCTGTATTATTATTTATTAGGCCTCATCATTTTATAAACTACACAGTTTCCCTTCCCTCTTCTCCACTTCCCACCATCCCTTCCTTCCTTTCTGTTTACTTTTTAATGCATGAATGCCCATAATTGCATGAATCACTTGGAATTCTTGTGTGCTTTGTTCACTGCTATTTCTTTAATGTGTAGAAGCCAATAGATATTTGTTGCATCAGTGCATTGACTCAGTGGCTGCATTAATGACACATGTGCATTTCATTTTCTATTTTCTATCTCTACGACTTTGAGTTTTTCCACAAGAAGTGCTTAAATCCAGAGAGATCCTATTGGCGTGGGCTCACTGTGTGTGAGCGTGAGATGAGAGTATCTCCACGTACAGGAGGGAGGCCCTCCCCGGAGGAAGGTACAAGCAGCCCAGGTGGATGGTTCTGAGGGCTCGCTGCCCTACCACCGCGACGCTGCTTTGAGGAGACCTCATGCTACGAAAGCTGTAGATGTCCAACTCCTGTGTATGGAAGGAACACTGCAGGTTGGAGTAATCCCACACGGCTGGCTCTCAGGCCCCTTGGCTTGTCAGCAGAGCTGGTAAATCATGGTGCTAGTCTACCCGACAAGGTGAGAGGAAGCCTGGAAGCAGAGTTGTTTCCTGGAAAGTGTTTAATATGGGAAACACTTGACCTGAATCCTGTGTCAGCATCAAGGGAGGTTGTTATCTTTCCAAAGGGCCTCTGGCTGTGCTGTTGACTCTCCAGTGGTTTCTCCAAGTACCAACATTTCCCGACATCATCTAGCCCAGATTCTGATCTGGCACCTCCTGATTGGCGCCCTCTGCCTATATAAGGTCAGGATGTGCAAAGCTGGGGTCAGAGTCCTACCTTCTCCTGAGCTCTGACGCTTTCCTCTCTGTGCTCCCTGCTGATCCATTCACCAGCATGAAGGTCCTGGCGTTGCTGGTCCTGGTGGCAGTCTCCACCTTCCTGGTCTCAGGCAGTAAGTAATGATGCTTACCTGAACATAAGGTCTGGAGTGAGAGGACATCCAAGATGTAAGTTCTGTGTAGATGTGTGTTGGAGGCCTTAGCATCTTGCACCTGTGTCCTCCACTCCGTTACCCTGTTCCTTTCCCATTTTGCCTCACTACTCAATTATTGCAGACCCTCCCTTTCTGCTTTGACAATTCAGATAGCTCCTTGCTCAGTTTTAACCTTGGAATGCGACTTCAATGTTACTTCAGGACAATGTCTTTAAAAAGGTTATCAGAGGTTGATTTCAGGAATGTAAAAATGGAGTCGCATTATGCTTTTTGTGGGGTTTTGTGGGATTTCTTATTATCTGTGCATGTTTTTGCCCTCAACATGGGTAGCAAAGCCTAAGGCTCTTCAACTTGGAAAGCCTGCAATATTGTCCATATTTTGTCTTTCCTCTACCCCTCAATCTGGTAATCAACTTTCACGTGTTTTTCCTTTTCTCTTTCAGAGAGCACATTAGATACTTCATTTGATACTGGTAAGTCTCTGCTTATATTTCATCCCCTTCCTGTCACGACTGTCTTCCACCTCAGCCTTGCATCAAAGCAGCCATGGGGGATAGATCATAGAGACTCCAGTGCAGAAGCCTGCGGAGCCACCTTCCTGTTTCTAAAGTTCATTGTGGACATAGAAAATGTGCTTATTTCTTATACATTGTTAGAGAATATACAGTCTTTGGCATGGATTTATATAAATTGTGGATTATTTATTTTGTCAGTAGAAATGACAAGGGAATATGAGTTTGTGGTCTAGGATTTGGGAGATACATGTAAAGACTTTCTGATTACCGTAACTTGAAGGGCTGAATATATGGCTAGCATGAAAAGAGGGGTTAATAAATCTCAGGAAGATGGAAGAGAAGTAGATGCTGCAGGGGATGTGGAGATGTGAGCTTTAGGAGCACATGGGAGTGTTGAATGCAGACCGTGGAATGTAGGGTGAAGTAGAAGGAGGGCCTTAAGGTTTGCTCTGTGTAACCATCTATATGCCTTATTTCCAGGCTTCCCGTGTCTCTCCACTACTCTGAAACTGAAAGTTGTAGACTACAGCCCTTTTATTTCTTGGGCTTCTCCCATGGTGTGCTGTGTGTTCAATGCCATATGCTCGTGCAAACATGAGGACGATTTCTCTTTTCGTCCTCCACAGTTGGGGACCTGTGTCCTTTTGTCATAAGGGCATAGACTGCAGTCACACCTCATACACTAAACCATATGTCCTACCTGCCATGGGGGTCAATTCAAAAAAATATCCTGTCTCCTGTGTGAGGACTGAACAGCATGGCTCCAGTGCGGGCTCGGAGAGTGAGCTGTCCACTCGTTGAGGTAGATGCACCTCGCAGATGTAGGGTCTGCCTGTGGCTGCCTGTCAGGAGCTCTGGTGTAAAGTGTAGAGAATGATAATTGTCATTGATCTTGCCACATATCCTTTGAACATGGGATGATCGATGGGGCATTTACTCACATTTATCATTGCCAGAATAGGATTAATGTGTCCCATTTTGTCTACTGTGGTTCTGCTAGATATTTCTGGAATAGATGGAGTCTAAGTTGAACAACAGGTGAGACAGATATAATCCCATTTTAGTCCTGAACCTGAGGGAAGAGACTGTGTTTTTTTTTCAAAGAAAGGAGATCCTATTGCTTGAATCTGAGATACATGATTTTTGTTTAATAATAAATTTATTTTTTATTGGTGTTCAATTTGCCAACATACAGAATAACACCCAGTGCTCATCCCGTCAAGTGCCCCCCTCAGTGTCTGCCACCCACTCACCCTCACCCCCTGCCCACCTCCCTTTCCACCACCCCTAGTTCGTTTCCCAGAGTTAGGAGTCTTTATAACCTGTCTCCCTTTCTGATATTTCCTACTCATTTCTTCTCCCTTCCCTTCTATTCCCTTTCACTATTATTTATATTACGCAAATGAATGAGACCATATAATGTTTGTCCTTCCCCGATTGACTTATTTCACTCAGCATAATACCCTCCAGTTCCATCCACGTTGAAGCAAATGGTGGTGAGATACATGATCTTATTCTTTCTTCTCTTCTCCTTATCGTCACTCCACTACTCACACTCATGCAAACTTCCATAGAAACGAAAGAGTCCAAAGCTGGTGTCCTCCCATTGGAAGGCCCTAGAAAGTCAGTCCACTACGGGGTTGCTTCTTGTCTCTGAGCCAGGATCCCTGTGAATAGGAATACATATGGGTTTGGTATTTTGAGCTCACCTCTGGGAGAAAGTATTAGCTTGTCTCCTCTCTTGGACTACAGTCCTTATAGGGAAACCCCAAATTATTTCTGTCGCACCATGGGCAGGGCTAGGAAGAATGAGGCCAAAGGAAAGTAGGCAGCCAGGCTAAGGGTATGACCGAGTTGTTGACATTTGCAGAGATGAATTCAGAAGGAGGACTGTGCCTCCAGCTTGGGTATTGGTACAAATCTGGGTTCCTGGGGTAGAGTTAAGTGTCTCAGTTGGATCTCTTCCTCCTAATTTCAGTTGTCTCTGATGCCACCACTGCAGCTCCTGCTACCATGACCCTTGACTTTCAAACTGCCAATCAAGCCGGTAAGTCCACCTCACCTCTGTGCTTTCTTTACAGGGTCCCTGATTCCTGGGGTTCCTATTGTCATGGTGGACGCTAGTCTGGAGGAGGAGAGGAAGAAGCCTCGAGAAAGCTCTGTTTTCATTCTTCTCTGATTGCTTTTGGTTTTACAAATCAAGTCAACTGATAAATCTCAGAGGAGCCTGAGATTTGCAGCCTCTTGTTCAGCAATAGTACCCACGGGGTCTTGAAATGTTGGCATTAAATAGGGAATACTCATCTTCGGTAGAAATGGCATCGAAAAGACCAAAGTAATTGTCCATAGGGCCAGGTGACTGTTTATATGTGTTCTTTTCTTTTTTATCAGAAAAATTTCTGTTACCTGAAAGACTTTTCTAAAAATAGGCAACAGCTTTACATTGAAGATTCTTGTGGCAAAAGCTTGTGTGCATTACTCAGGATAGTTCTGGGAATTTGGACATTGACTGAGAATCAAGACGGTACAGTCTTCCTAGTCCTGGTTCATCTTTCCTGTCCTTCAACACTCATGGAACATCAATTCCAAAATCTGTTGACAGTGGACATATGCCAGGAAACGTGGTACAAAATTCACGTATCAATGTAATTTAGTCTCAGAGTCATTCTACTAACTAAATAATGTAAAGATGAAGAGATGGAGAAATTACAATGAAAGACTTTCCCCTGAACTTATGGGAGACATTCAATTTGTACCTAAACAATCAATGTTTTGAGGAAAGTTTTTCAAATACTTCTTATCCTCTTTCAGTGTCAGGGCTATTGCTTGGCACCTTGTTCAAGGATGTGTTGTGGTAGCTACTGGGAGGAAAAAGGAGTATTCATTCCTTTTTTTAAATTTATTTTTTTTTTGTATTCATTCCTTTTAAGGAGAAGGCTGTGTTGCTTTGTGCTATGGTGGAAGAAAAACTAATGCATTTGGGCCTACTTCCTGTTCTCTCCAAACTTCCAGCTTCCCTAGACTCCAGTCTAGGGTTGCAAAGCCCATTTTTTGAGGGGATGAACATGTCATGTTCCTCTGACTTTACGGAATTCAGTGCTATTTGATATTTGTTAGACTCCTTGCAGATTCTCAAGAAAGAAGCCATGTTCTCCATTGTTTTTTGAAACACTGTTGATAATATATTTTATTCTTTTGAAGGTGTCATGAGCTGGTGGAAGAAATTGCTAAGTTGAAATATTACTATCATGGAATTAGACTGGGCCATCTGCATTTGATCCTGCTGGACTCAGCCTCAAACTCTCTTCGTTTGATTTCATTGAGCTACTCACCAAGTCTACCATCTCTCTCTGATCCCTGATCAGTTTATCTGTTTTCAATTAAAATTAACTTTGAGCAACATCAAAAGTTGTATATTTTTAAGAGGTTGCAGTGTGGTTGTCCAAGGATTAAGTTAACCCAGTGACAGATACTTTCAATTTTATCACTCCCTCTGTTGTGACTGTGAATTGGACTTTGTACATCTGTATCCTATTTTATTTTATTATTATTATTTCTTACAGATTTATTTATTTATGATAGACACACACACACACACACACACACAGAGAGGCAGAGACACAGGCAGAGGGAGAAGCAGGCTCCATGCCGTGAGCCCGATGTGGGACTCCATCCTGGGACTCCAGGATCGCACCCTGGGCCAAAGGCAGGTGCCAAACTGCTGAACCACCCAGGGATCCCCCATCTGTATCCTATTTTAAACATAAGACACACTTCTTGGGCCCATCACTAGAGACTAGAAGTTTCTCTCACCTGAATGCACTAATCAACATTCACTAGGCACTGAAGTCCATTTTGAATTCCACCAAACTCTGTTATCTGAGATATGGCTAGTGTCTTATCTGCAATGACTTAAACAGTGAGAAGGAGGATAGCAGCCCTGCCCTCTGGGAACTGGCCTGGCACAGCTGGGATTCGGAGGTGTTAGGGGCTGAGCTGAGCTGAGCTGAGCGTAGGAAGAGAGTTCTCCCATTGCACACATACAAAGTCACAGAAAGCCGATGGCAGACATCGAAGGGAGGCAAAGAGCAAGACCACTTTCCAGTGTTGTTTCCATGCAGACAAAGGCAATGTGAGTGTGTCAAGCCCAGAACAGCACATAGACCTTTTTCCTAGTTACTGAGTGATGCTGTTTCATTAGCCATCACAGCTTTGCTTCATTCCAGACTTTTCTGCTAGAAAAGTTTTGTTAAGATCCCCAATCATAGCATATTCATCCTCCCCAACAGCATCCAATTTAGAGCAGAGGCATCCTACAACTGCTTGAAGTTGCATCCCTACAACTTCCCCCAAATCGCCTACAACAAGCCCAATTCCTGTTTAAGTGTTTTCTAAGACCCTCGCGCTGAGACCCAGCTATGCAATTTCCCATATGTATGCTTTCCCCCATGCAGTGGGGGAGATGATGATACCAAGCTGCTGTGCTACAGCTGGGCTTCTGGTGGTTTTTAGTGGAGGGCTTTGACACCTGAATGCATAACGGGATCGATATTGTACATGAAGGAGTCATCGTATGTTATCCTTCCACTGCGGACATCTGCTGTTTTCACACATTTGCTAAGTGGGAATCTTTTCAACTTGCCCTAGTTCTTACCTGCAGTCCACTAAGCAGTGCACAATTCATGAAAAGCAACATGTCCCTGCTCTGATAGGGAAACGATTGAGTTTGGAATTTGATTCCCACTAAATCTGTTCTATTATTTAAGGACGATGGTGGTCAGTCAATGGGTGAGAGGTAAAGGAGACTATTGAAGATCAAATACATGTGTTTTGATGTTTGAGCTGGGATCCATGTGATAAAGGCTATGTAGGAAGAGCAAGAGGCCAAGAAGGATTGATATACCTTAAAATACTTAGCTAACATCTTCTTTTCCATACTAGTTTGAGTCACCCTTGCACACTTTGAATTTTCATACACTGGATCTCAGTGTATGTTTACTGTATATGCACAGGGAAACAGATTCATATTATTTTATTTTGTTGCTGAACTTTAGTTAGAAAATATTTGGAGTTAATGACCATAGGGGCAAATTAGCACACGTTGTGATGATTCTCTCCTCGGAGGAATAAAGTAGAAAAAAAGAAAACCTTTAGTATCCATAGAACACCTGGAGGGTAGTTGAAATTACAAGTTAATATTGTAGGCTGAGTTCCACCCATGAAATTCCCGAGGATTCCTTCAGCTGGAACAATAGGGATATTGTTCAAATTTTGCAAAATGCTGTCATGGTTTTCAGATCATGCTAATAAGCAAGAAGTTCAGAGACTTATGAGGACTATTCTGATTTTGGCAAAATCATGCTTCTCCTATAGAAATCCTGTTAATCTCTTATCAAAAAGTCAACAAAGAGGTATTTGAATTTCATCAGACCCTGAGCCAAAACCTTTAGTAGATTTACTGAGAGTCTGCCTCAGGTAGTCCCTATGAGCCCATAGGATGTAACTATATGATAGAAGTTTGTGCCATCATACACGTACTGGAATCTGGAATCTTTGGCAGAAATCAAACAGGATTTCCTTGCAAAATTGTGTTGGGTTTTGGATTTGAAAACTACTTGGGGCAGATTCTTCTTGTAGACCATTTTAAAAATAGTTGCTAGGTTTTCAGTGGTGTTTGATGAAGGAGGCCCTTCCATTGAAGAGCATCAGGCAATGTACAGTTCACTGCTGTGTTTTGGTCGATGCAAGAGAATCTGTCAAATATGTGATGCGTAAAATGGGACTGTCCACTCATGGGGTGGCAATTTGTTTTTAGGAGAATTGTAGTAGAGGAAGTTCAGGGAAAGTCCCACACAACATGAGCCAAGTTGTGTTGCTACTTGGGTAGAAAATGGAATTGCACAGACATCCAAGATCTCATTACTGGGGGAAGAAGGGTGGCTAACTTTCCAAGGAAAGCCCTTGTGTAGATGGGGATGTTGCTGTTTGGGAGTCGGTTTGCAGCAGATTCTGTTGATACTGAAACCCTGATGAAAAAGAAAAAGTTGGCAGAGAGTAGAGGTGAAAGCTCTTCGGTTAGCAGTGGTCAAAGCGTCAGGCTCCTGTCCCTAGGGACACATTCAGATGTTAGTCTGTGGGGCTGTAGTCAAGGGTTGCATGTTCGTCAGGCAAATGGGCTCCAGGCAAGTAGGAAAACAAGCTACTTGTACGATGCACTCAGATAAGGAAATGTCTTGGGGAATTTAGGAGAGGGCTTAAGGTCATGAGGATGTGAAACAAAAATAACTTGTTGGCTTCGAAAAGGACTGTTAGACTCTTTTATTGGGTTTCTGTCTAAGAAATGTTAATATCTTAATATCCCCTCAGTTTAAAGGCATACAATTTATTCTTCTAGATTACCTAAAATGTTTTGTTTTCCCATAATGTCTTTGGTTTTTGTGGACAGCATAAGGTATGAATCATGGTTTATTTTTTTACTCATACAGATGAGTATGAGTCACTTATACTTTGTCAAAAGGTTTTCCTTTCTTGAGTAGTCCAGCATTTTTGTCAAAAATGAATTAAACCTCATATGTGTGGGTGTATTTTTAGACTCTGGTCTGTTCCATGGACCCATTTCTCAATCTCTAAGTCACTATCTCAGTGATTTGATTAATGTAGTTGTAGCAGTTTGAAGTCAGGTGTGTGATGCTTCCAACTCTGGTCTTTCTCAGGATGCTTTTGGTTACCTGTCAGTTTTTGCTTTGTCAAGTATCTTGTGTAATCTGCTTGTCAATTTTTATTTTTATTTTTTTTTATTTTTTATTTTTTTTTATAAATTAATTTTTATTGGTGTTCAATTTACCAACATACAGAATAACACCCAGTGCTCATCCCGTCAAGTGTCCCCCTCCGTGCCCGTCACCCATTCACCCCCACCCCCCGCCCTCCTCCCCCTCCACCACCCCTAGTTTATTTCCCAGAGTTAGAAGTCTTTATGTTCTGTCTCCCTTTCTGATATCTCCCACACATTTCTTCTCCCTTCCCTTATATTCCCCTTCACTATTATTCATATTCCCCAAATGAGTGAGAACATACACGCTGTCAATTTTTACAAAAAGCCTGCCAATATGTTGATTGCGATTGAATTGATGGTACGGATAAATTGATACCTTAACATTACTTTTTTTTTCAAGAATTTGTGTACATTCATTTCTGGTGATTGATTTGTGTCATCAATGTTTCATCCCCTCTCTGTAGAGGTCTGCCATATTTTAGGATTAAATATTCCATAAATCAATACCTATTTTGCATGCTGTTTAAGAGGGCGTTTTAAAAATGTTTATTATCCTGTTGGTCATTGCTAACATGTGGAAAATATAACTGAATTTATAAATTTTCTATTTTATTTTATTTCATTTCATTTTTTAAAATTGAAATTGTTTGTCAAAATATAATGTATTACCCAATGGTCATCACATCGTGTGCCCTCCTTAAGGCTATCACCCAGTATCCCATTCCCCCCTCCCACCTCACCCTTCAGCAACCCTATTTGTTTCCCAGAGTTAAGAGTCTCTCATGGTTTGTCTTCCTCTCTGATTTTCCCCATTATATTTCCCCTTCTTCCCTTATGGAGCCTTACACTATTTCTTATATTCCAAATTGAGTGAAACCCTGTGAAAATTGTCTTTCTCCAATGACTTATTTCACTCAGCGTAATACCTTCCAGTTCCATCCACATCGATGTAAATGGTGGGTATTCATCCTTTCTGATGGCTGAGTAATGTCTCATTGTATCCTATACACACACACACACACACACACACACACACACACACACCCCATATCTTCTCTATCTGTTCATCTGTTGAAGGACATCACAACTCCTTCCACGATTGGCTATTGTGGACATTGTTGCTATGAATACTGGGGTGCGGGTGCCCCTTCGGATCACTGCATTTGTTATCTTTGGGATAAGTACTTAGTAGTGTCATTACAGGACCATAGGGTAACTTTATTTTCAACTTATTTTTTTAAAATATTTCATTTATTTACGAGAGAGAGAGAGAGGCAGAGACACAGGCAGAGGGAGAAGCAGGCTCCATACAGGGAGCCCAACATGGGACCAGAACCCAGGACCCCAGGATCACACCCTGGACTGAAGCGGTGCTAAACTGCTGAGCCTCCTGAGCTGCCCTATTTTCAACTTCTTAAGGAACCGCCATACTGTTTTCCAAGGTAGCTTTACCAGCTTCTATTCCAATCAACACTATAAGAGGTTCATCCTTTCTCTGCATCTTCACCAACATTTGTTGTTTCCTGTCTTGTTCATTTTAGCCATTCTGACTGGTATAGGTGGTGTCTCATCATGGTTTTGATTTGTATTTTCCTGATGACATGTGATGGACCATTTTTTTCATGTG